TGGCTACACCAACAACCTTAGTTAACATATTAGCGGGGTTGTCTTTAGTTGGAATCTTCTGGAGAATGATTTCTCCTTCACTAACAACTTCACGAACAAAGTGATAACGCACATCTATGTGTTTGGTCCTCGCATGGTGAACCTAATACTTAGCCAAATAAATGGCATTCTAACTATCACAATGCACCTCCACCTGCTTCTGATCAACCCCCAAATCTCTAATCAGCCCATGTATCCAAATGACCTCCTTTATAGCTTCAGCAACTGCCATATATTCAGCTTCTGTAGTAAACAAGGCAACATACGACTACAAAGTGGACCTCCAACAAACTGGTTCTTTAGCCATAGTAAACACATAGCTTGTAGTAGACTTCCTTCCATCCAGATCACCTGCATAATCTGAATCAACATAACCAACTGCAAAATGACCAATACCAGAGTCATCTCTCAAAGCATAAACCAACATCTCGAGTACCATGGAGATACCTCAATATCCACTTAGCTGCTTACCAATGCTCTTTACCTGGATTATGCATATATCGACTCACCATGCCAGCTGCATGAGCAATATCCGGTCTTGAGCATACCATTGCATACATCAAACTACCAACTAGATTTGCATATGGTATATTTTTCATTTGCAGCTTCTCCTTATCAGCTTTAGGACATTGTAGATAATTCAATTTAAAATGAGGAGCCAAAGGGGTACTAACCGGTTTGGTTGAATCATGAACTCCAAACTTCCGAATCAACTTCTCAAGGTATTGTCTTTGATTCAAGCATGCCAAACATTTATCTCTGTCTCTAGTGATCTCTATGTCAAGGATCTTCTTTGCTTCGCCAAGATCCTTCATCTCGAACTCATTCTTCATTTGCTTCTTCAATTTCTCAATCTCTTCGACATTCTTTAAGGCAATCAACATATCATCAACATATATCAATAAATAAATGAAATACCCAACTTGCAACTTCTTGAAGTACACACAATGATCATATTGACTTTTAGAATAATTTTGGCCTCTCATAAATTTATCAAACCTCAAATACCATTGCTTTGGAGATTGCTTCAAGCCATAAAGTGATTTCTTCAATTTGCAAAACAAATATTCCTTCCTTTTCACTATATACCCATCCGGTTGACACATATAGATCTCTTCATTCAAATCACCATGTAGGAAAGTCGTCTTCACATCGAGTTGCACAAGCTCAAGATCATATTATGCAACAAGAGCTAACATAATACGAATTGAGGAGTGCTTCACAACCGGAGAAAAATATTTCATTGTAGTCAATGCCCTCCTTTTGTGCATACCCTTTAGCAACTAATCTTGCATTGAATCTCATATTGCTTTTCTCATCAACATCTTCCTTCTTGGCATACACCCATTTGCAACCAATAGCTTTCTTACCTTTAGGTAACTTAGCTAACTCCCAAGTCTTGTTCTTCAAGAGAGAATTCATCTCATTTCCTATGGCATTGCACCACTTCTTATTTTCCTCCTCTCAATGGCTTCCTCAAAATTGGATGGAATCTCATCAGTGATAATAGGAAGAGCAAAAACAACATAGTCACTATACCGAGCTGGCTTGGTAATTTGTCTTTTTCCTCTGTTCTTGGCAATAAACTCTTGAGGTGAAACTTGCTCTTCAACTTGAATAGAATCTTCATGTTCAACTTCTTCAACATCCTCATGGTCTCCCACTTCTTCACTTGTAGTGGCTTCGACATCAACGGAAATAGGATTTGAAGTACCAAAGGCAACTTTCTCAAGCTCCACATGTTGGACATCTTTCACATTCTTCTCAGAGTTTCTGAATATAATTTCTTCATCAAATGTCACATCTCTACTGATTACCAGTTTCTTCATCTTTGGACACCACAACCTGTAACCTTTGACACCACTACTAAAACCAAGAAAGATAGCCTTTTTGGCTCTATGATCAAGTTTATTTTCAGTTACATGAAAATAAGCAGGTGAACCAAAAATACGGATATATAGTCATAATCAGAAGAAGGTTTTCCAGTCCATTCCTCCATTGGTGTCTTACCCTGAATAGCAGCTGAGGGTAACCGGTTGATGATGTGACATGCATAATTAACTGCCTCTGCCCAAAATGACTTGCTTAAACCCGACTGAGACAACATACATCTAACCTTATCAAGCAAGGTTCGATTCAATCTTTTTGCAACGCCATTTTGTTGTGGAGTTTCCCGGACACTAAAATGTCTCACAATCCCTTCCTCTTTGCAAACTTTAAAGAAAGGGTCGGATGTGTATTCACCACCATTATTCGATCTCAAAATCTTGATCTCAAAATCTTAATCTTTCTCCCAGTTTGGTTCTTAACCATTTTCTTCCAACCCAAGAAAATGTTCAACACCTCACTTTTATGCTTCATAGTGTAGACCCAAGACCTCCTTGAATAATCATCAACAAAGGTCACAAACCAATGTTTACCACTCAAAGAGGGAGTCTTTGTAGGACCCCAAACATCTGAATGACCATAATCAAGAATGCCCTTCGTCTGATGTACTGCAGTACCAAACTTCACTCTAATTTGTTTTTCCCAAGACACAATGCTCATAGAAATCAAGCTTACAAGTCGTGACACCTTTTAGAAGACCTTGTTTCACAAGCCCTTGTAGAGTTTTCTCACCGGCATGGCCTAATCTCATATGCCACAGTCTAGTAGTATCAGAATCGGATGTGCCCATATTTTCTGAGACTACAGATGCTTCACCTGTCACAGTGCTTCCTTACAATAAATACAAATGGCTACATCGAGGAGCTTTCATCACAACAAGTGCACCATAAATAACTTTCAATGTCTGTCCATCTGAATGAAACCTGAAGCCCTTGGATTCCAAAGTACCCAAAGAAATAAGATTTTTCTTCAAATTCGGTACATATCGAACACCTGTCAACTTTTTAACCATGTCATCATGCAACTTCAAACGAACTGTACCGATCCTTTTTGTTGTGCAAGGATTGTCATCTCCCATGAACACAACGCCACCATCAAATTCTTTCAAGCTGGAAAAACCAATCATTGTGAGGAGTCATATAATGAGTAACCGTATCCAACACCCACTTAGTAGCACAATCAAATGATGAGGAAGTGGTTAAAGAAAAATCAGAAAAATCAGAAAAATCAGAAAAATCAGTTTCAACCTCAGCAACATTAGCTTCAGAACTTTCTTTGCCTTTGGTCTTCAATCTAGGACAATCTTTCTTCCAATGGCCATTATTACGACAAAAGACACATTGATCAATTTCCAAAGGTTTTCTACCTTTAGAGTTTCCTCTAGGTCGAGACTGTGATTTTCTCCTACTAGAAGAGGATCTCCTCTCCGATGATCTACCTCTAACAAATAAAGCTTCAGAGGTACTATCATGATTTTTATCTCTATGCCTCATTTCATAATTCATCAAAGCATTTGACACATCTTCAAATTTCACAGTTTCTTTACCATGCATAATAGTGGTAACAAAATGCTAATAAGAGTCCGGCAAGGAATTCAACAATATTAAGGCCTTATCTTCATCCTTAATATCCTCATCTAAATTTAACAAGTTGGCAATCAACTTATTAAAAGCATCAAGGTGTCTAATCATTTTTGTACCTTCTTTGTATTGGAAGCAGTAGAGTTTTTTCTTCAAGTGTAGCCGGTTCTCTGCACTCTTCGTCATATACTTGTTTTCCAATTTTTGCCACAACACACTTGCTACTGTCTCCCGCATCACAAAATACTTCTGAGTTTTTGCAAGGCACAACCGAATTGAAGAGCAAGCCTACAAATTTAATTTCTCCCATTCCAGCTTCGACATAGCTTCCGGCTTCTCTCCCAAAACGGCAAGTAGATCTTGTTGAGCCAACACATCTTTGACCTCACATTGCCACATCCTGAAGTTGTTTGTGCCATCAAACTTTTCCACTTCGAACTTTGCATTTTACACCGTAGTTCTTGCAAACCCGGAGCTGCTTCCAAAATGATTCTCATCTTGCCCATCTGACATCTTTGGCAACTAGATAGTACCCAAGAGCAACCAGTGCTCTGATACCAATTGTTGTGCTAGGATAGCACCAAACCCATTGAAACCAATTCAAGCTAACCCATAGGAAATATATCAAATGGAATGCAAGAACAAAATATAAAGAACACCAAGATTTTAACGAGGTTCCTCAACAGTCAGTGTAACTGGAGTACATCCTCGGAGAAGTAGAAGCTCACCCAATAATCCACTATCAAACAAATGAGAGTTTACAAAGTGTTGACAAGCTCATAACCCAAAACCCCAATACAACCAATAGCTCTCACACACCAAAGAAACAAATAGAGAAAGAAATATAATGAATAATTGCTTCTCTATACATATAGCTCCGAAGTTATTACAACAACTACTTTGGTGGATGATTACTAACCAAATGAAGCAGCAGCTTCTTCTTCCTTTTGGGCTCTCTGCAACTCTTTATGCTCTCGACAGCTCTCACTTCTCTCTGCAACTCTCAACTGAAAATGAGCTCTCACTCTCTTATTTTTCTCTTCATCCGAAGAAAACCAATAATTATGGCTTTGAAAAAGACACAAAACAAGGAAACATAATCATGATGCCTTCTCATCATGATGTTCCCTCATCATTTTGTCCTTCATTCTTTTGTTTTGTTTATTAGCCGAAAGTGGATGCCAAGTTGGCCACTAATTTGGCCACTCTCCAACAATGTAAATATCTCTAATTCCATTACATGTCATAATTTAAGTAAACAAGAATGAGATTAAAATTACATATCAATTTCATCGTCTACTTATATAATCAAAATTTGGTGTTAGAGATGAGACCACGCTGGATGTTGGGGATGATGCAACACATTATACATATACTAAAACTGGGTTCTCTAGCACTGTTTTTCACTATTTATGAACAGTAAAATGGCGGTAATGCCCTTATTTGCTTTGCTGCTCTCCATTGTTTTCCTCCATGCACGGTGGATTTACGTATTTGTCCACGCTGCCCACGCGTCGATCATCGTCGACTGCTCCGCTTCCACCATCTCGAATTTTCCTTCGGTTTCGACTTCTTTCTCTCACAAAGCTGGACTTTTCATTTTCTTCCGGTAGTCCTCCATTTGGTACACGAACTCCTGTTCTCTCTCCCTATTTTGCACGAACCAGAACATATGTTGTCTATCCCGTTCCGATTCAAATAAATTCCTGAAGGGGCTTAGATTTCGTGGTAAGTCCTCTGTCTCTCTGTAGAATTTTGTTTGGATTGGGTTGTTCGTGTTGTTCTCCTGACAACAAAACTAAAATTCCTTGAATTCGCCTCATCGAAGTCCAATTCCACTCTGCCATACCCAGGAAAGCTTGGCTTCCGTTCTGATTTGAAGAAATTTTAAACCCAGAAAGCTTGGGTTTCCAGGTGAGTTCTTTGTTTTGGGTTTGGTTTTTGGTTCTCTTTTCTTTGTTCAAATTTTTGTGATTTTAATTTTAAAAATCTGGGTTTTTTTTGTTCAATGGTTTGGTCCATCGTCTTAGCTTTCTCACCAGAGATCTCTGCCATCACTGTTCCACAAAACTCGAGCGTCTGCTCTTTCGAACCAAGTACTTCTTTCACTTTCTGTTTGTTTCCGGGAAAATTTAGGGCTCGAAAGTGTGTAGAGTTGTAGAAGTAAAAAAAAAAAAAATGTCTCAATCTTTATGTTGTCCTGTACACAAATTTGAATTTTGGATTGTGTTTCGGCATACCCATACTGGAATTTTGTGATTTGGAAATTATAGAAGTTAGAACCCAGATAAAATTTCAGATTGGGGTTTTGAACATTGTTCTGGGTTATGGATTAGAACAAAAAGTTACCTTCTAGAAGAGACGTGAAGTTATGTAGTTTTCAGTGTATAAATTGGCTTTTAAACATTGTTCTGGGTTATGGGTTATTACAAAGATTCACCTTCAAGCAAAATTACATTTGATTTACAAGAGGAGATCTTTGAAAATGAGGTCTCAGCTGGCCATGATTCATCGTTATCTTAGAAGAATGGACGCTCTGACATATTCCTTCAACAATAATGCGTGACTTTTAAGTGGACAATTTCACCTTTTGTTTTCATGTCAAACCAACTTGCCTCACATACATGGTTCCGTTGTTAACATATTTTCTTCCATTGGTTCTCAAAGAATCATCTGAATCAGTTCTTGGATGATGATCCAACAATATCTCATTCATGGTTTGGATAGTTATTAAGAATATGATGGGATAACCGAGTTGAGTTCATGAATTAAACTAGGTCGGGTTAATTACACTTTAGCATATGCCTTTTTGACTTAATGTCAATTACTTGACGTTTATCATATGCTCTATGTCCACTGATGCTTTTATTTTTTTATTTTTTATATTGATGCTTTAGCCGTTCCCGTTGTCTACTCTATCGATGTATAAATTGTATCTATAATTTCAAAATACATGTTTTTCATGACAATGTATGATATTTATAAGATACTTTATGTTAGAGTCTAATTCTTTTTCCCTTCCCTTCACTGCAGTCCCGACAAAAGTACTTGGAGACTTGCAGCAGATGCAAACTCTCTTCTTATCTAAAACTGTTTACTATCAGGTCTTTCTTGGTTAGTGATTCTGGTATAGCTGATTACTGTGAATATCAATTGTGTGTTTTGTGCTCCCGGGTTTGTGCTTAGAGCATTGTATTTTCTATATATAAATTTTTTCCTTCAGTTCAATATGCAAGTAGTTTTTCCCTTTTTCGTCTCAAGTATTTGGTTGGTTTTATTCTTGGATTTCCTGATGATTTGAAAATGAAATGTTTGCCAACAGTGTCACATGGGTATCATGGATTGCTCAAAAATGTCTCAAAGACGTAAAGAGATTTATTATGTAGCTCCGACTATGCGGACTACGAAGCTAGCAAACACTAGCAAACAATGGTGCAGAAATTGCTGTTTGTTCTTGCTAAGGTTTGTAATCCGATGACTAATAAGTTTGTTCCCATATTCGGCACTTCAAATATGTCTAGAAATAATGTTATTTTTACGTAAGTTAGGTTTTCCATTTTTCACTTCTTGCTATGTTATTTCTTTTTGAGGAAACGACTTTAATCACCCTTCCAAGTTTGGAAATTCTTGAGTTGTGCAAATTGTATATTAGAGGGGATCCCTTGATATATATATTAGTTAGTTCTTACTAAAATTCGTGCAAAATGTTTTCGTTATGTTGAAGTAAAAACCTTTTTAAGGTTGCAATTAGTTTTTCACGTGTGTAAATAATGTCTATCATGTATATACATCATAACTTTCTACATGTTTTATACGATTTAAAAAATTGCATCAACGCGTGGGTACTAATGACTACCCATTTTTTGGTTGACGAGAAAGCCACGTTTTAGTGGACAAAAAACATAGTTTGATTAAAAAAATGTTAGATATAGAAAGAGAAGTTAAAAATAAAGAAAAGCCTAATGGATGAAAAAAAATAATTGAAAATATGATTTTAGCCCCTGAAACTTAAGTTTCATTACATAAAAACCCGATATGGTCGTTTTTATCTAAATAAAACCCAATGACTAGGTTCCACATAAGCAAATTCATTAATTGGGTTTGACTTCACACATTTTGCTTTTTTCGGATGACTTGAATACCCCTAATTACAATTTTAACTCTAATTGGAACTGAGCAAGTGTAGTTCCTTGCCCTGCGAGAACACTTTCAAGTTGCGATGTTTCGATTACCAATTGCTCCCGCTCTTGAGCCAACGCATCTAGACGCACCTGGACAGAAGTTAAAAAAGTCTCTGTGACTTGATAATCTCTCGAAACAGCTTGCTGAGAAGACCAGACTTGAGCCAGTGACAAGTTTATTGTTGCTAGCTGATGAGCTCTAACGTCTGAACTCAACTTCTCCAAGGAAATAGCACGCAAGGAAGAATACTCAATCGAGGCGGCCATAAGTTCGGCAATCTTGATCTTCAAGGATGAAGAATCAATGTTAAGGTTGTCAATCACAGAAACAAGCTTCGACAAATCCTCCTTGAGCAACATAGGGTCCTCTAACAGACACTTAGAAATCCTCTCCTTAATATGGCTCTTGATCTCCATTGTCGCACCAAGATTGATGCGATGGATGAGTCGCTCTGTACCGCTAAGGTTCGGCCCTTTCAAAGAGATCTCAGAGCTAGCTGGCAAAGGTGTTGAACACATGACGGGTTCTTGCATACCTCCACCTTCACATGGCAAACTCGGGAAGTTCGGCGGGTTTGGAACAAGCTCTGCACCAGGTGGATCCCCGATCTCCCTGTCTGTAGGTAGGTCGCCTGCCAATAGCATCTTCGTATAAGAATAAACATCTGCAGTTACCAAATCAAAAGGACAAGAAGGCCCAACCTAAAGAAGACAAAGAAAGATGTTAGAAACGAAAGCCAAAATGTTGAAAGCAGAAGAAATCACGAGAGAAAATGAAGTACATACATTTCTTTCAAATGGCACACGATCATCGAATTGAAGAGGTCTAAACACTTCTTTCTTCTTATGACGAAAATTGACATCGCTGTCAACCTGAGCATTCTTAAGTGGTCGCTTGTTTGAAACTTGTTGACGCTACTGTTAAATAAATCCATCTGCGTGCAAATCAACTTCATCTCCCGTCTCTTCAGAAGCATCCGGATGTCGAGGAGACAAGCATGAGCGTTGAGGAGCTAAAGCTACATGTTTATCTTGTAAGGGAGCTGCACTTACACAATCAAGAGGTACCGGTTGCATAGGAACCACAGGCCAACCCTTTCTCGACATATCATCGCCTGAGTGAAAAGAATTGGTACCATTTGCCATCCCCAAGTTCTTATAATGTGCCTTTAACCACCAACGTGCGTAAACACGGGTCACTGGATTTACTCTTGAACTCATTCTTGGCTAGCAGCGTGATAACAGCATTTGTGCATGCACGGGTACAAGACTCCCAATGCATGTACACGGTTTGCAGGGATACCCGATTGGTTCTTTTACTTCAGCTTGCATGGCACGTTTTGGACAAAACCAAATTGCCTGCTGATATGGTGGGGACTATATAACTGAACAATGCATCGGTCTTCTTGCCGCAAAGAAACAAACTTCGAGCGAAGACTTATAAGATAAGACAAGTCTGAGAAGCGGAGATGCGAATTATCTATGATGCATCGCCGCACCGAGCCAACTTTCGCTAAGGGGTTAATCCTCAAATCTTCACAACTTTTAAATAACGCTCGCGCTTGCAAATCATCAAGGCTCTTCGCGGAGAGCACACCAGAATACTTCGTCATCAATGGCCTCAGCTTGGCTCCAGTCGATGAAGAAGGCCTTGACTTGTTTATAGTCGACAAAGAAAAACGAGTGCCAAAATATTCACCCAACCAACCATACACATAGTGGTAATGAAGCACCGCAGCACGATCTTCAGTGCTTGCCAAGTCTGAAACAATGCTCAAGCCATTGTAAATGTTGGCTAAGACCAGAATAGCAAGGCTAAAAGACTCACCTGCAGCCATCTTGCTAGCAACTTTGAAAACTCCAGGACGAACTTGACGTCGCCTGTCGGGAAAACAAACTTACAAAGCCAGCAAGCTAAGAAAGTAGCTAGGTAAAACTCTTTCACATGCTCTGATGCTATGCCAAGATCCTCAAACGCTCTCAACCCGTCAGAAGATCGGCGCCTAGTTGAGCCAATGACACCGGACGAGTCTGAGTCTTCCTTTGGCCTAGTGGTCTTGTTACGGCCACTTTTCTTTAAAGACTTCTTATACCTCATGGCCTCCTAGTACCAAAATCGGATCCATGAGGAAATCCTCATGCCTGATTTACCTTGAGCATCTTGGAAAAACTTGTGATACGCCCAAAACAAACAACGGCAATTCGCAGGCAATCCTTGACTATTGCAAAGAAAAAGTTCCTCCGTGTTGGGAACGACCTCGTCATTAAACTTACCTTGGATCGGCAAGCCTCCTATCATGTGAAGATCTCAAAGTGAAATTGACATCTCCTCTTACGCCGTGTGAAGTGTGTTGGTCGCTGAACACCAATGCTCAAAGAACACACGAAGGACGGATGAATGACGATCATAACTAAACAAAGATGCATACACAGCGTGGTAAATGCCCACGTTAGTAAGCACATCTTTAGATCGGTTTAGGATATCTTCAAGGCACTCCCAATAAAACTCATTAAAGACGGCTTTTCCAGTAGTCGACAGGGTATCATTCCAAGCCATGGCTCTGCTGCGGATGTGATCACCAAGAAGTTTAAACGAGGTCGGATGATGGTCACGAGCATGGTGCGAAGGATTCAAAATAAGAACCCTTGATGTGCATGCCTTTTTCTTCGTATTTGG